CCCGACTGGCTGGATGGTGGTGAAGAGAAGGATTGATATTCCTTGCAGACAGCTGGTCATTTGCATCCTTTGCACCCGGAGGAGGCCAACCCTGTGAGATCTAATGGGTCTGTGGGAGGTAATTGGCAGCAGGCGGTCCCTCAAGTTTACAACACGGTCCTTTCAGCAGCTCCGAGAAGGCTCCACCCCCATTTGCACCTCAAGGACAGAGATCAACCTCCAAGTGGCCTCAACGACCCTCTCAAAGGATGCAAATGACCAGCTGTCTGCAAGGAATATCAATCCTTCCCTTCCCCACCATCCAGCCAGACCGGAAGAAGCTTCTTGGAGGAGAAGAGAAACGTCTTCAAAGATAAACCAGAAAGTCCAGCTGCCCCTTGAAAAAAGAAAAGCACAGGACGATTTTATCTCAGGTCCTTCCAGAATTGTGGTGATGCCAATTGCAACAGGTTTACACATGTGGAGTTCACAGCTTCCCGGTGTTCACCCCAACCCGGCTTGCAACGGGAAGAAATCCTAGTTGGGCAGCTTCCGGCAGGGTCTTCTGAATTGCTCCCAGGGCTTGTCCCCTCCTCCCTTTGTCCAAGCGCTGACACCGGTTGGAGGAATTCAGAAGACCAAGAAAACAGAGAGAGGGTTAGTTTTCCGTGCGCTGGAAATGTGGACTTGGGTACGTCCCTCCATTCATAAGGATGCGAAAAAAAAGACATTAATCAGGTTAAAAACAGGATTATCAGGCTGGCGAGATGCAGCTGTTATCTAATTTTACTCGGTTATTTTCCCGTCCATTCAGGAGACGGCGCTGACGTTAGATCTGAAACACATGCATTACAACTCCCATCACTCCTCGCCGGCATGGCCAAATGCTCTCTTGGCTTAGGACCATGGGAACAGTAGTCCAAGACATCCCCCCCAAGTAGTTTAGCTGCAGCTGAAGAGGACAGGAGCGTTTTCTGTTTTGTTTTCCCTCCTTCCTTTTGTACCTGTCTTCTAACGCCTGGCTGTACCATTTTGGGGGTGTATTCCATTCTGAATTAGTGCCATGAACCGTATGGGTTCTTGGAAGGTGAGCTAAAATAGCAATAGCAATAGCAGTTAGACTTATATACCGCTTCATAGGGCTTTCAGCCCTCTCTAAGCGGTTTACAGAGTCAGCATATTG